AGGTGAGGCTCCCAGTCCAAACCCTGAGGTCTCTTCACTGGTGGTTCTCACAGGCGGTTACCAAGGGGTCACCTTTCAAGGAGCCCAACCGCCTCACAATCATGACAGACGCCAGCCTGTTCGGCTGGGGAGCCAACCTACAGTCTCAGTTTGCGCAGGGCCGTTGGTCCCGCACAGACTTGAGACACAACATCAACTGGCTGGAACTCAGGGCCATTCACTTAGCTCTTCGCCACTTTCACCACCTGATGAGAAGCCGTCACGTATTGGTCCTTATGGACAACGTGGCGTCCAAGGCCCACGTGAACCGGCAGGGGGGCACCAGATCCAGGTCCCTCATGTCCGAGGCCCGGCTGCTGGGATCCTGGGCAGAGTCCAACCTGGCCTCCCTCAGGACCGAGCACATCTCGGGGGAGAAGAACCGGCAGGCAGACTTTCTGAGTCGCTCTACGATAGATCCCTCGGAATGGGGACTACATCCGGATCTTTTCTCTGAGATATCCCAAAGGTTCGGCCAACCGGTCCTCGACCTGTTCGCATCGTCGAGCAATGCCCAACTCCCAAGGTACTTCTCCCGCTATTACTTCCCAGGGGTGGAGGGGACGGACGCCCTGCAGACTCCGTGGCCGGAAGGCCTACTTTATGCCTTCCCCCCTCCCGCTCATCCCGGTGACCATCCACAAACTGTTCCAGGAGCAGGCGGAAGTGATCATCGTGGCCCCGTACTGGCCACGGAGGCCCTGGTTTGTCGACCTAATGAATCTCTCCCGTTCTTCCCCGTGGAAGATTCCCCCACATCGCGTGTCCTTACACCAGGGGGTCCTCCAACACCCGGACCCTCAGTGGTTATAGTTAGCCGCCTGGCACTTGAGCGCAGGATCATGATTCAAGAGTTGTTCTCGCCACGGGCAATCACTATGATTCAGGCCTCTCGTAGGCCAGCGACCAATCGCATTTATGATTCCACCTGGAAACATTTTTGCCATTGGTGCGGAAGGAGGCAACTGGATGTTTACAAATTGACTATTCCTCAGATCGTAGACTACCTTCTTGACGGTCTGGACAGAGGCCTGGCCCCTGCGACCATTCGTAGGCACGTGGCGGCCCTATCAACATTACTCACTTGGCGCGAATTCAGTCCCTCTAGCTCACCATCCTAGGATACGCGCCTTCATCAAGGGCGCATGCAACACTAGGCCTCCCGTGATGCACAGGTATCCCTCTTGGGAGCTGCCTCGTGTACTTCATGCACTCACGAAACCGACCTTTGAGCCCATTACTACTATACCGTTACGGGCCTTATCTCACAAGGTTGCATTCCTGGTCGCCATCACGTCAGCCAGACGTATTTCCGAGCTGGCTGCTCTCTCGATCAGGAACGATCTTTGTATCTTCCACCGAGATGGGTGGTCCTTCGGTTGGATCCCACTTTCGTGCCCAAGGTCAACTCACTCTTCCATAGGGCACAGAAAGTCATTTTGCCTAATTTTTGTCCCAATCCTTCCCATGACTTGGAGCGGCAGTGGTACACACTGGACGTCCGCAGGGCTCTGCGGCGTTACATCAAGCTCATGGCACCTTTTTGCAGGTCTGAGGCCCTCTTTATTTCTTTCCTCCCGGCTTCCCTGGGGCAGAAGGTGTCCGCTTCCACCTTAGGCAGGTGGATCAGGGCTTGTATCGCGGAGGCGTACCAGTCTTCTTCCCTGTCAGCTCCGAGTCATATCACAGCCCATTCCACTCACAGCGCTGCGACCTCTGCAGCATGGGCCACTCAGGCGTCCATCAAGGAAATTTGCAGGGCTGCGACATGGTTTATGCCCTCCCCATTTGTACGCCATTATAGGATTGACAGCTTCGCTTCAGCGGACGCCTCCTTTGGTTGGAGGGTCCTCCAGCAGGTGGTCTCCGGGGACGTAGAGCGGCCTTATCTGTTTCCCACCCACTGGGACAGTGAGGCTTTGGTATGTCCCATTGGTGGATTCTCCATCTCCTGTGCTGGAGAAGGGGTGTTGTCTTACCTGAACACCTTTTCTCAGCACGGAGATGGAGAATCCACACCCACCCTTAAGGTCAGTTAGGCCAGTATTAGGGGTTTGAGAGCCAACACCTCGTCCTAGCATCAGCCACTGGATCTCCTAGCAACAGGGGGCATGTCAAGTTTGGCTAACTTGGTCTCAAGAGCAGGCAGACAGAGAAAACCCATTGGTGGATTCTCCATCTCCGTGCTGAGAAAAGGCGTTCAGGTAAGACAACGCCCCTTTTTTAACTTCTTCAGCAACGAAACCTATTAATTAAAAACAAATCCTGGAAACCCTGATTAAGAATAGAACTTTACTGAGAGAAAATCAGCTGTGTTTGAGAGGTATTATTTATTTATTTGCCCTTAATCTCTCATGAAATTTCATCCAGGTTCATTCAGCATCCTAGTATTCTTGTGTTGAAAAATTCTGCATTACACCATAGGGTTATAGCAGTGACTTCTGGTTATTAGATTCTATATAAAACAAGCACAGATAGTCCTTGTTTACTGACCACAATTGGATCAGCAACTCAGGGTCAATAAGTGAAACTATGATTATGCTCATGATTTTACCTGACCTCTCCTCTGCTTTACAGACCTGTGAGGATTGGTTGCAATGTTACTTGTTCATCACCATTGTAATTGCAAACTGTTGCTATATGAGGGAGTCACTAAATAAAGATTATCTGTGTTATAAATCACTATGGTATGTTTGTGTGTGTTCCCACTATTTTGTAAAAAACAATATACGGATTTGTCTTAATTCATTTTCTGCTTCCTTAATTCATGTTTTGCTTTCTGCACAAAACAAACTTTACTTAGAAATACCCTATGAAATGGTTCTTTATCTCTGTTTTCACAAATGTTTTGGCTGGTTTTTTTTCAAAGAAGGAGCAGGAAAAGAGGGCAGAGTGCATCAGCCCAGACAGTGCAGGCTATAGAATAACTTTGATCCATTTTTGCTAAATCCTATTGAAGCATCACCCACCATCCTTTTCCAAATCAGCACAATCAATTTGCAGTATCAACTGTTTCTTAGCCACAGGAAATCTTGCATTAAGTTCAAATGTAGTTTTGCTGAAGAATCACTCCACAGCATCTGTTTTGCCGGCTAAAGCTGAGTAACATAATGTGTGAAGTAACAATATGGGCATGAATGCTTAGGGAAATGTTACTTACTTCTGAATGTCTACAACTGTATCAAAAATGTCAGAGATTGATAGTTTCCAGATGTGATAAATCCAAGATTACAGATTAACAGAATTGGAAGGGACCTTGGAAGTCTTCTAGGCCAAGCCCATGCTCAAGCAGGAAACCCTATACCATTTCAGATAAATGGTTGTCTGGTCTCTTCATAAAAAACTCCAGTGTTGGAGCACTCACAACTTCTTGAAGCAAGTCATTCCATTGATTAATTGTTCTAAATGTCAGGAAATTTCTCCTTAGTTCTAGGTTGGTTCTTTCTTTGATTAATTTTCATCCATCGCTTTTTGTTTTGCCTTCAGGTGCTTCGGAGAATAAGTTAACCTCCTCTTCTTTGTGGCAGCCCCTCAAATTTTGGAACACTGCTATCATGTCACTCCTAGTTCTTCTTTTTACTAGACTAGACATATCCAATTCCTGAAACCACTCCAGTTCCCTAATCATCTTTGTTGCTCTTCTCTTCTCTCTTTCTAGAGCCTCAACATTTTTTTTATATTGTGGCGACCAAAACTGGATTTAATATTCCAAGTATTAAATGGTATCAAGTGGTACTAACAAGGTGCTGCTGCTTTTAAAAATTGTAGGAACTTTTATTCTTCATTGTCTTCCCAAAGCCTGTTTGGGAATGATTGGCTCCATTAGACAAAGTAAGCTGTTTGCTTTATAAATGAATTGACTCCTGTCCTTAGGAGCTGGATTGACTGCAAGGCAACTCCTGGGAAAAGTGAGGAGATTTATGGATGAGTTTTATAGTCTTGTTTAAGTAAGGAGTGGATGGGTGAGCTGGCAGGCTGGCTGGCAGAGTGTTTCACCCTTCATGTTTACATTTTTCCCTAATCATCTGGAGCAGAGAGGTTGGAAAGGTCTTTTCAGTTGCAAATTTCTTGATGTGAATCTACCTACCATACACTGACCCTGACTCTTGTTCCTCTTTTTTTTCAGCTGCCTCTCAAGAGACATGCACATCCTTGTGACAAACAGGCCTAATTTCTTAAATCCAATTCCTCAATAATCATTCAACGAAAGCTGACCCCCAAAATCTACCTCCCATTTGTTGCTTGGCCTTTCTTTCAATGTTTCTACAGGCTGGTTAGGCCCCTTCTAAACCTGTCACTTTTCCTATAGTTTTTTTTCCCTTTTGAGGTAAGGATCAAATGATCCATAAATGTACAATCTGAGAACCATCCATTGTGGTTAAGATCAAGGCAAAGGATAAGGAAACAGAAATTCTGGAACAACAGTTCAAAGAGTAAATTTATTTGCCTTACATTAATCCTTGCTCAATTAATACTGATCCCTTGTGTTAAACTGAGTCAAATTAAAATATTGCAGAATTAACAAAATAAGAATGTGTTTGAGTTTAGATAGTTTTAGGGGCACATTGTGATGCAAGTAAGGAGTAGAGTATGGCTAAAAGCAAAAAATTATCCATAACCTTCCTGGTTGAAAATCTACCTGTCACAGTGCTGAAAATAATATTTTTTTCAAGCAAATCTTATTGATATTCTTTATTTTAAAATCCGTTTGATTTCTAAGTAGGTATCTAATTTTTATAATCTATTTGAATTTAATTTCCAGCAAATTTTCTCTAAAAGGTGTGATTTAAAATATACTTTCATCCAATTTTCTCACGTTTATGGAACTAAGAGCTGCACTGAAGAAGAACTATGGATGTTCTTCTATCTGATGAAGAATAATGAGAATTGTAACTTTCTGGAACTTTGAAAGTTCTGTATCACTGCTAACCTTGGGTCTTTTTTTTTATTTTAATGTACAGAGGTGTGAGCTGTGTCCTCATAAAGATGGAGCACTGAAACGGACTGATAGTGGAGGTGAGCTTACTTTTGAAGATAGCAGGGCAGTCCAGACACCATTTCTCAGTCTAAACAAGGAATATTTGCTTTTGAGTTACTTTTTACAACTTTTCCTTCCGCCACAAATCAAGAGGACTGTGGCATGTGAAGTTAAAATCAAAATCAAAACGGTAGCAGAGTAATAAGGGTCACTTGTCTGTGAGATGGATGGTCATATAAATTTGATTACTATAAGTAAAAATAGGCAAAAAAATAAGCAAAAGAATTCAAATTCAGCAGAATTATTAAGGCCATTATTAAGAGGCATACCATGTTTGGATTTCAATCATTCAGAATAGTTCCACTTCTTTTAGATTTCTGAAACTCATAGGCAAAGTTTCCGTCCAGCTCTCTAAGGCAAAGGTCTTCCAAAGGGTGAATGCGGTTCCTGAAAAACATTTCTCACTCTTTCCAAAATTTCCCAAGGGGAAAGGCCCTCAGCATATCCACATAGGACACACATAAGATAGATGCAGTCTTGAAGTTGACTATCCTTCAGGTACCTGAGAATCAAATTATTTTTGGTCAAAACCTGCGATTTGGATTTGTAGCTGGAAGCCTATTGGCAGTCAATGCAATGCCTGTAACAAAGGTTTTATGCTTGTTGCAGCAGTTATTCCAAATGCTTGCCAACTCCATTATTATGAAATGACAATACCGACACTTCTTTACTCCATCCTCAGAACATAAGGAGTTATGTCTCACTTGAGCATCATTACAAATAATAATGAGTATATTTTTGGTTCATCCAATGCCACTTTTTTCAGGAAGTTTTTAGATTAATCGAGGCTCCCTTAGAACTGTGAACAAATGAAAGTTGGAAGCATGAAAAAAATTATGGCTGCTTTGGAATCTCTGAGAGAGGAATCAACAAAGATGTCATTTTCACTGTGACAATAAATCTTTTATGTTATAAAAAAAAAGAGGATGTCAATCTTGCATTCAGGTTTTTATATCATCAAGTCAATTGCTTCTTCAGGGCTGGAACTATAGTTCAGGCATCTACAACATCATAGAATTACAATGTTATTCTATAGCTGTGAACGCATATTTGAATAGAAATACAGTACTTCTCACAAAGGGGAGAAAATACTACAACCCGGTAAGCTGTATGTTTGTTGAGTCTCCGGGTGTGGACTGCTAATGGTCAAATTCAAAGCCCCGATCATCTCCCTTGATAGGATTATATATTTTGAACTAGATTTGGGCTACATCTTTTTCTCCGTATAGAAAACAAATAGCCTGTGCACCAATGATTAGCATGTGGGAGAACACTTAAAAGTCTTTAACCCAATCTTGTGTTCCCTCTATAGAGATAATTGTCTCAATTTGGAGGAACAGTGGTTCATTAAAGGTCCCACTTGTGGTCTGGAAAATGTAATTTTATTGCCTCAGTGAAAATCAGGCCATAAAAGCTTGATCCCCCACAGAATACCTAAACCAATTACGGTTTGATTGATGCCTTTTTCTGATGTTCCTTATTTTCTCCATATCATTTTTGTCCTTCTGGCATCCAGGCTGGGCCCATGTTGTCTGTGCTCTGTATATCCCTGAGGTGCAGTTTGCGAATGTTCTCACTATGGAGCCTATTGTCCTCCAGTATGTGCCCCATGACCGCTTCAACAAGGTAAAGGAGAGACCTATCACAACTTACCTAACCCACCTCTATTTTGAACTCTTGGGGCCAGCTCACGTATTAAATTAAATACGAGAGCATGCAGTTTCCCTGTAGTTTGTTTATATTACTACCTTTTTTAAAGTGTGGGTGCCCAATCTTGTGTCAATAAAAATGAATAGAGATTTCCTCTTATGGTGTCAATTATGGAAACATCTATGAATTTTCTGGGTCATAGAACAAACTTGGTTTCTCAATGCTTCCTTCTGGGTTGTTTTTACCAACTTCTCAGTCTCCCAAAATACAAATCTAATAGTTTCTAATAGTTTACCATTCTAGCACTTCATAGGCTCAACTCTGCTTAGCTTCCAAACCCAGACAAGACCAAGTAACTTAACAAAATGTTATGCCTTCCCACCGTATTTCAAGTTATTTTTTTTTAAAGTGTTTCTTTCTCTTTTATATTTTCATGAAGAAAATATAAGGAAGAACAAATTTGAAAAGTAGAAGTGGAAGTTTTAAGTCTTCCCTTTGCACACATGGAGATATCAATCAAGATTCCATTCCCATGTGCTTAGAATAATGTTATTCTCTCTCTCTCTCTCTCTCTCTCTCTCTCTCTCTCTCTCTCTCTCTCTCTCTCACGCACGCACGCACGCACGCACACACACACATATAGCTGCATCTTGCTTACAGAATTATGGAATTGGAACGAATCACAAGGTTCCCACCCCCCAGGCAGAGTAGAAAACCAATTAAATCATCCTTGAGTAGTAGCTATCCTGCCTCTTAAAAATCTCCAGAGATGCAGAACCAAAGCCTCTGTAGACTGTTCCAGCATAATAAATATCTTACTATCTGATAATCATATTATGTGGTATTGTTCTCAGACTCTTTTCAGAGATCATCCTGATTGACTATGAATTATGTAGCCCCTATATTTGAAGGGCACCAGGCTATTCTATGCTGTCCTAAGTTATTACATATTGCCAAACAATGTCATTCGTAAAATTGCATTTTGGGATCTCCAGTGAGAGGCATATTAGAAAAGCAGATGAAGTCCTGTTGTTCTTGTTGCAGACTTGTTACATCTGTGAAGAACAGGGCAGGGAGAGCAAAGCAGCTTCTGGAGCCTGCATGACTTGCAATCGTCATGGTTGTCGGCAAGCCTTCCATGTTACCTGGTGAGTCCTTAAGTATATATTTCAAAATCACTTTCTTCCACCCCAGTTTCTGTTCCCCAACCTTTCAGTTTCTTCCATCACTATTATGAATCAATGAAATATTATTAACTAGTAAGGATGGAGAATTCCTCTGATTGATTGTAGCTTCTTCCTGAAAGCTAAATGTTTTATGGATGTTTTCATTTTGGCTTATTTCTCCTCTTCAGTCATCTTTAAAAGAATACTTCTAATGGAGGAAAAGATTATGCCCATTTTCCATCAGTCTTACCCTTCCAACATCCTGTTATTCACCCAATGAAAATCACAAATTTCCATTTTTATTTTAAATCTGAAATTGGGATGGCCACCATTTTGGATATTTAATTTTCAGTCTTTCTTTTTAAATAACACATCCTTGCCTTTGCACCAAATATGAAACACAAATTTTAATTAGTGGGTTTAAAAAAAAAAAAGAATTCTGATGGGGAAAAGGGTAGGAATGGCATTCCTAAGGGAGAGAATAAAGCAGGAGAATATTTAATGCTGCTTGACTATTTCACTATTTCACTACATTTCTCATCTAGTTGGCCTAAACGTGACTTGGAAAAGTGACCAAGAAGGAGAAAATAATGGAAGGCAAGGGGAAATATGCATTTAACCCTTGCCTTCCATTTCCCTTCCATAAATCTTATCCTGTCCTTGCTTTTTTTATATAACCCAGAGAGGCCCAATTCCTAGCCCAACTTCACTGACAGATTTCTTATTCAATGAAGAAATAGACTGCAGGACAAAAAAAGGCATAAATTAATAATCTTTTGATAAAGGACAGGGTCCAACAAAAATGTATATAACCCTTCTAGAGATTTTTTTTTTTTTTACTTTTTTGTTATTGTTGAAAAAGTGGATTAGCTCCACTTTAAGAACAGAGGGCAATTTGGGCAATTAAAAAATTGAATCTTTTTTGTTTGCCATATCCTTTTTTTTGCATCAACAATAGCATAGAAAAGGATATTTAACTGTTAACAAACCAAATACATCTCCTTATTGCTAATTAATTTATTTCTGTTAAAACATTAGAATATACTCCACCAACATATACTATAAGATGGCAGTTTGAATAGTTTCTGTCTTCTCTCTGATGTTATTAGTTGTTATACAAAGAATAGTACCACAAGTCTCAGATGTTCATTTACAAATCAGGACATGAGTTGGCAATTACCAAGAGGAGTAAGGAGATCTATGTATTTTTTTTAACCAGTTCAGGGCTGATGGTTCTGTTATTAGGGTAGGTATGAGAAGGTGTGTGGAGTAAATTATTTCTTTTATTTACATAACTTCTTTAAAGTTATGTAAAGGAAAATCGAATTAGTGAGTTAGGGAAATCAAAACCTGGTTTGACTGAGATGCCCTGGCCTCAGTTTACATCAGTTCACTTCCATATTTCAGTGCTCAAATGGCTGGACTTTTGTGTGAAGAAGAAGTCTTGGAAGTTGATAATGTGAAATACTGTGGCTACTGCAAGTACCATTTCAATAAAATGGTGAGTCATTACTTCTTGTTATAATTGTAAATAAAATGTAGATAGTTACCAAGGTCTAACAGAAGTTATGGATATAAGTCTGGAGATTTTTGCACGTGCATTATTCCTGGGTTAGGGTCCTTTCCAAATTATTGGTCTCTAAGATCAGAAGCTTAAATCACAGAAAGTTCAAAAGTCAGTTTCAAGAAAGGAAACCAATGTGGATAAATATGTAGGAGGACACATCGTCTGTGGGTATAACAGAGAGATTACAAATATTAAATCAGGTATGCACAATTTCTTCCAAGTCAAAGGCTCCCCTTGATTTTTGAGAGGCATCTTGAAGCCTGCCCTATTAACAAGAAGTGCATGTTAAAGAAGTGTGCAGAAACAAACTTTATTTAATCTTTTAATTAAATTTATAAGTACATGAAATACAACTGATATGATTATAGCACATATACTGAATCTTATTCATATTCTGTTACATTAAAAGTAACAGTTCTATGGCAACTTTTGCATAGGTTCTGAAAGATAAATCTAAGACTGTTGGAAATGGTGTATGGAATTGGACCTTGGGTTATACATCTTTATCAGAACATCTTAACTGAGATAAAATCCTAAAAAACACTGGCTACTGAAGGCAAACAGTTGGTTTCAATAAGATGATAGTGATTTAAGAGAGGTTTTACTTCCAGTGACTACAATTACGCATTCCTTTTACTGATACATTTTTAGTTTTGAAAACCTGCAGTACTGGAAGTATCAGATGATTTTTTTAAAAAAAAAAAACCTTCACCTACATGAAGGAATTTTCATCGTTCTGCAGCATTAAGATCTGCTTCTTCCATTGAGCCTCACCTATTAGATTAAATGAGAATGTCATCTTTAACCTAGATAATCATATAACCTAATTTATAAACAGGAACAGAATGCTATATCTTTTTTTTTTGCAAATTATTTGTAGATCTTTCCTCTTCTACATATTTACAAGCACTAATGTTCTAAATGTTAAAACTATTTTAACATTTAACAGCCATTTTGGAGTAACATTTATCCATTTTTTTCTGTAGTATCAATCTGCTTCTCTAGGCATTTTATTTTGTTGTTTCTTCTTTTCCTGTTATTTTTAACATTTTCAATAGCATAGCTTAACTGAAGATTTCCCAGAAAATAGGGACCAAAATAAAACCTAATGATACAGCTATATTAGTTTACTTGTATCTGCCATATTCATGAATAAAATGGGGATTACATCAGGTAAATTACATTAGAATAGCATTTTAAAGGTAAAACAGCACATTAATAAGAAATTAAATCCTGCTCAGTAACAGCAATTTCTGTCAACTGAAGCTTTAGCTGAACCCTTTCATACCAAGATTTCCAAGTTGTTGGTTGTTTTTTTTAAAAAAAGATTAAAACACTACTAAAAAGTCATGAGAAAACAAGGAAGCACAACTTCCCTTTCCCTAATATATGTCCCATCATTTTTGGTTCATTCTTGTATATGAAGAAAGTTGGGATCAAAGTCACTGTGTAGAAGTGTGCTTGCTCTTAATCTCAATTTCCTCTCCCCCATTTTTTTTCTTGCCCTGAAATTAGCTTTCCTCTAGAAATAAAATCTGATGTCATGTTATGTTTGCATAATCAGAATTGTTAGCTAAGTGGTCTATAAAGCCTATTCCAAATCTGTTCTTGCGAGGGATATACTACTTTTTGATTCCTCATGAATCTTCCAGACTAGAAAGAAAGGAGAACATGCAGTCCTCCCTGAACATTTGTAAGGGAATTTAATCTGTCCATTATACTTAAAAAACAACACAGTTGCCTTATCATACCAAAAATTGAAAGGAATGTCTCAGTTTATTCAGTCGAGAGCCCAAATATATTTTTTTGAAATTAATGCTGAGTTCTCTACATGATGCTAGTGTCATATCTACATCTAGAAAATTATCAAATCCCTATGTCTATAAAATTAAATGTTTCAAGGATAAAGTTTGGCAAGATCTCCTTGCCCAAAGAATATTCCATAACTGACAACAGAAGATTCCTCTGCTGTGGTGTTAATGTGGTTTCTAGTGCAAGTACAAATAAATTGAATGCTTGGTTGGCTTCCTATCCCAAAGAAATGTCTCAACTTTTAGTTCTGCCTTGCATTCTGTATAGACAGGTGCTGACTACCTTTAGGCAGATAAATGAAACATTTATAGACAGATGTAGATTTAATGCTCTGCCTCAGAATCCGTTCAGACAAATGCTGGAATGGCTTTGCTTCTTCGGTTGATTCACTTACAGGGGTCTCAAGGAGAGACAAATACTCTAGGCAAGCTGGGGAAGATTTAGTCAATATATGGAAATCAAGCATTATTTCCAGATAAAAATGCTGAATAGCCCAAATATCTTCTTTGAAATGAAATACTTTGCCCTTCATTACTCATGATCAAGTACACTATTGTGGATATCCTCTGAAGTAATGTTTCAGATATTACCTTGGAATTTTGTTTGTTTGCATTTGGGTATATTTTTCATTATTAATATTAACAATTTGCTTTTACAGATTTTTTTATCTTGTTTTCAGGACAACCTGAAGGAGATAGGGAATGAGAGAGAGGGATGGAGGGAGGGAGGGAGGCATAGCACTCCAGGGCATAACTGGGGCCTCATCTCAACCTTGGATTAACTTTCCAAGCCATGATGACAGAACCTAAGGAACTTAATAACAAAGGGAAAAATAGTGCTGATTCTGAGTAGGTTGCCTCTGTTGTTATCAGGACATAAGAAAAGCCTCCATATCATCATATTAAATTACTGTCTTCATAGGCCTGGACAAAGGCTTCATTGGTATAAATTCCTATTAGGGCATCTTCCAGACAGTTCGATTCCTGAGACAGGAAATGCATATGGCACATCCCCCCCCCCACCTCCAGCCCTCTGATTAGGGCCCTATTCATTCAGAAGATAGATGTAAGCACTTACTCCTGTATTCTTATGTAGACCCTACTTTGCAATTGAGTTTTCAGCAGATGAATGGCTAGCTCAGCCATCTCCAACCAACATTTTCTATATGTGTTGGTTATACTATGACCCCATCATTTCCAGTCAATACAGGTTAAGATTGAGAGAGTTATAATCCATCAAATCTGAAAAACACCCTGCTTGGGAAGGTTAACACTTGTAGATCATGTCCTTGAGGACAAACTTCTCTTTCATTCTGCTTCTCAGAATCTATCTCTGATGGTGTCCGTTGCATTCTCCTAATAGATAATTTTCTAAATTTAATTTATCATTTTTTATTATGAAAGTTAGATAGCTCAGTAATAAAGCAGAAGATCCCATGTTCATTAATGGCATCTCTAAAGAGTTTTATACAGTTTTATACCTGAAATTCAAGAGTGCTGTTCCCCATTACTGTCAATAGCACACTAGCACAATATTGTCAGCATAGTATTTATAGGATAGTACAGTGTAATTACATGTGCCAATGTTGAGCAGTGAGCTAAGTTTTTTTTTTAATAAAAATTTTATTAATTTTTATAATTAAACAATAAGTAATATGATGCATTTGTATACGCAAGCATAAAAAACAATCCAAATCAATACATTGTCGGAAATGCTCGGCAGTCCCCGCCTTGCCTCCGCCCTCATCCACTTTCCTTTCCTTCCTCCCTCTGACCCACAACCTCTCCTCCTTCCTCCTTCCCACTTCTACATCCCCTCCCTTCCTGACCACCTCCTCGAGTACAGTTTGGGATACCAGCCGAGCATCTCCTCTTATCAATACAATTATTATTTACCTATAACATGTAAATACATCAATTTTTTTACCCCTAATCCCCTTCCCCCCCTGAGCTTCCCGGAACCAAATACTGGATTGAAACACATCCCATTCCATATCTAAATTACCATTTAACTAAACAAATATAATACTATCAATATATACCTACTTTAACTCTAATAAGGCAATAAGTAAAAACAATATATCTACTCAAAATCTATATGATATTTAATCACTCCATACTTTCTCTAAATATAATCTATCCACCTTCAACATTTAAACTTTATATAAATTTTTTTTCTTACATTTTACACTTAAATTTTTCCTTCACTTTCTTCCCTCTCAAGTCTATACTTTCAATAAAATCTTAGTAATTTTGTGGAGTTAGGGATATTAATATAAGTTTACTTTTAGTTGAATAGTATCCTGGGATTAGGTTTGGGAAGTCCGGGTGGGGGGTGGGGTGGGGTTTTTCAATTGTGATGTATTTGTGATGTGCTTTTTTTTTTTTGTGTTGAAAACAATAAAAAATTCTTTGAAAAAAATAAATAAATAAATAAAATCTTAGTCAATACTTCCTGCTTCACAGCTGGAAAAGTAAAATAAAATCCGAATCTTAAATTATTTTTTTTTTACATCTTTCAAAAAAAACCCTATAAGTTCTTTACAAACATAATAAACTAGTTTCTTCCATTTCCGTAATAAAGTATCACTTCCAGCGTTTATCCATCCTTTGGCTTATGAAGCTTGCTAAGCATTCCCTGCATGTCTGTCGCTGCAGATTTCTTTGGCCTCGCCCCACCCACTGGCTCCGAAGGCTGTGGATATGTTATAGAGACTGTTTCTTTTTGTTGCTCTCTCTCTTTACGCCTATAAGCAGCACGGATCATCCTTTGCTCCTTCTGAGGATCTCCCACAGATAATGACATGGCCCCAGGCAATTCCACAACAAGTTGCTCCATCAAATCTTCCTGTGCTTTAGATGTCGATGATGGTGACATATCAGCTTTCAGGACCGACAAATAAAAATCCTTAGCTTTTTGAACAGAATTTAATCTGTATCTGGTCCCTGCAAAATTTAACACAATACCCAAAGGAATTTCCCATCTAAAAGGTATCTGCCGCTTCTTTAACTCCTGAGTCAAAAAGGTAAACTCCTTTCTTCTTCTTAAAATCTTAGAAGGTATTTCTTTTAGAAGTATAATATCTTGTGCAGCAATTTGAAATCTCTGCTGATAAAAGAGCTGTATAATTTCATTACGACGTACTCTTGTGGTAAAATAAACAACCACATCTCTAGGTAGGTTTCTCTGACGTGCAACCCAGGAATTCACTCTAAACTTTTTTTCTATTTCTCCATAAATCACCTCTGGGTTGCAATTCAATACCAGGGCCAAGGCTGTAACAACTTCCTCTTTAAGTTTCTCTTGTAAGTCCTCTTTAAGATCCCTGATTCTCAGAGCAAGTTCCATTACTTTAAATTGTGACATTACCATGTCATTTTGAAGAGTTTCCACTCCTTCTTCTACTTTTTCAAGTCTATCCTCTATTCCTTTCATTTTCTCCACTAACTCATCCACTCTTCCCTCCACACGATCAATATGAGCTGCAAGTCCTTGAAAAATATGTGATAAATTTTCACAAAGTTCCTGGTTTTTCTTATCCAAAAGTTCTTCTGTTTGTTTCACAGTCTGCAATGAAGACTTGGCTAAGGCCTCTTGTAAATCTTTAAGTGTAATGGAAGGAGGAGGTGTTGGAGGGGGAGATCTAGGTTTTTGTTGTTGAGTTTGCACAACAGGAGAAGAAATAGCTGCTTTAGGCAATGCAGAAACTCCAGTACGTTTTGTAGCCATTCTGCCAAATTATTTTTAAAAATCACAACAGCAAGTATAAACTTAAAAAATCTTGACTTAAAAAAAAAAATTCTTTTAAAATCCTTTAAAATACATCATTCCACAACCGGAAAGAAAGTGAAGGTTTTCCTTTTGTTAAAAAGAAGGAAGGAATGCTTCCGTGGCCATTTTCTTGTCACTTTCACTTGTAGAAGTAACAAAAATCCCAATTAAATCTTCGAGTTAAAGTCACATTTTAACTAAAATAAAAATCCCCTGTCAGGTTCCGTCTGTTCCAAAAGTTACTCACAAGCAAACACAATGTAGCAGCAGTGGCGGCGACGTCTAGCTTCACTCCGAAGAGCGAAGACACACCGAGCTGCGGAGAAGAGGTCCGGACTCTGGGGGAGTTCTCGCCTTCATCCCCCCAGGATCGCTCCTGGGGGGACTAGGGAACTCAACCCCTATCCAGACCAAACTCACTTTCTCCCCTTCGCCCGGGGAGAAAGTTCCGAACCGCAAAACAGCTGATCTGTGCTGTTTTGACGGCTTTGACGCAGTCCCGGGCTGGAGGCTGAAGAAAAAGCCTTCTTCGGCGATGCCTCGCCACCGGAAGCTCCCAGTAGTGAGCTAAGTTTCTAATTAGAATGTTCTTTCAACAAACAATTGAAGTTTAGGATTAGGAAATAGTATTCCTAGAGAAATAAACTGTGTTTAACAACTATTCTTGACCTAAGTTATGGTTTTCTCCTACACGATGAAAAGACAACAGTAGTAGCAGTAGTTTGATTGCTGATAAAATATGATTAATATTGGACAAGAGGGTATAGGGAAAAAAAGTTAAATACTCCCTCTGAAAACAACACTACTGGTTTTTTAAGTAGTAGCAGATTACTATTAAACAACTGCTCCAGAGATCTTTTGTTTGTCTTTGAGCCTGATAAAAAAAGGTTGCTATGAGTCATTTCTATTAAGCTTTAGGGCTGACCAGTTTTTAGACCAAATACCATAGGCTAGTTTGGATCTTTTTCTTTAAAGATTAAACTATGGTCCCAAAAATGAATTCTGGCAGCATGAAGAATCTCCAGCTTGAAGCTTGCTTGACATAAAATGATAGTGGAAACATCTAGGAGGAAGAGGGTTTTGTCAATTATAAAACCAAACTGCTATTGGTAGTAGAAGTCTATTAGTTTTTCTTGTTTGCTTTCGTTTTTCCCTTCTATGTCCATCTGATCCAAAATCCTTTCCCTAATTTCCCACTTGCCTCCAGAAGACCTCACGCCATTTTGGAGGTGGTTCTTTTATTGGAGGAAGGAGGAGTCAGTCAGCATCACCTACGCAAGAGAAGCACGTGTCTCATCATGAAAAACCAAAGAAGGTAAGAAAGAAGAAGACAAATAAAACAGTAAAATACAAAGAGCGCACATCAAAGGTTGAGAGTAAGTGCACATATTGTTTCATGGAATATGTATTTTAGGATTTTGCCTTTCTAATACCAAAGCAGATTAAATCAAATAGATAAACTTTACCTAATTATGGTATACTGTATTCTTGCTGTTCTCCTTTATCTGTCAGAATTAGTATTGGTTGCATAATTCAACATCTGGAAAATATTTGCTGAAATAATTGGATAGTTCCAGGTATCAATGAAGATAACATTTGGGTTAATTTGTATTACTTTTCACAAACTCAGTTATACAGTACATTCAGTAACTAACTAAGGGCAGAAGCTTTACAGGCTCAGCAAGATTTGATGACTTGCTCTATTGTGATCAAGAAGGAAGTTGTAGATATGCAGAAGATTCAGTTAACTACAAACCACAGAAATCCCTCTCTGTCTCCATATAAGTATCACCTTCAAGGTTTCAATCCAGGCTTAAATCCACTCTTATAAGTACAAGGGGAATGGAATCAGCCTTGTTAATTTCATGACTGTTTTCATTTTTTGTCTCTCTCAGTACCTCTGAACCACTTGAGGAGCCTAGTAAAATAAATAAGTTTTGTCACTTTAATCACTTTTTATAAATTAGATACTATTGTAAATATGTATAGAAGTTGTCAGTTTTATTGTTTTCAAAAAAAATGGTGGATACTAGGAGGGAAGATGTTCCTATTAGAGATGGCACCGTTATCAGTATCACTGATTTTCCATTGGCACAACTTTTTCCCACCAGTCATCTTCCAGAAATAATGTAATTGAAACCTAGGAATTCTCAGTCAGCATGGCTATTTGCCACATTGTTAGAAATGTTAAGAGATGCAGCCCACATCTGGAAGGCGCCAGTTAAAGGGGCTTAGAGTACTGCAACTGTCAGATTACAGCTGAAAGTATTTTGCTGCAATAGACAATGGAAATTGCTTTTTAAAATAACTTGAAGTAAATGGAACAACATGGGAGCACAGACATTTTGGATGAATGAGTGAATAGAATTATCTATTCCTTTTTTAATGAAATAAGCTCTAAAAAAGAGTTTAACTGAACACATCTACTGCAATATAAGCTCTATTGAATTCAAGCTGTTTTTAATCCTAGGAGTTGAAATTCAAAAAGAAATATTAAAGACAACCATAGGCAAAGTGCCTTCATAATAGCATTTGTTCTCACCAGTGCACCCTCTCTCCCTCCCTCCCTCCCTCAAAAAAGTTGGAATTAAAGTTTCCAAGTAAGTGGATATGGTTTACTGACATGAATTCAGTTCCTTTTTGTAAAATTAATATTTATCTGGAACAATAATAGGACCAGTTTGCATGCCTTTGCAACAGAGATTGTGGGGTTCATATTTAATCTTGTCAACATGCTTAATCCATTTTAGAAGTCAAACTCATATGTCTAAAAACAGACTACATTCTGCCAGGGAAAACAATGGAAACTGGAAAAGAAAAAGAGAGACAAGAGGAAACCTGGCTTGGTAAATGTAGTAATGGAACAAAGTATTTTATATCACACCAGGCAAAAACAAAACAGAAGATGAGCTGGATGGCAGGCAACTTGGGGAAAAAAATAGACAACACCCGATAAGCTATGGAAGAGCTATATTTACACTAACTTAGAAGGAAATACGAGGAGAGTAAAAGCAGTGTCTTCATTTATTTTAATATGTTACTGAGAGATAAAAGATAGGGGGTTTTTTGTTCTTCCTGAACTATCCCTTGTCCTATCATCCCCCTATTGCAAAAATAGAGACTACGATTTGATGATGCACAACAAGAAGGATAAAAAGGGTAGGGTGGACAATTGGATTGTAGAAGGAATCGCTAATATTTCATCTTCCATTTCAACAGAAAAATCTGTGTCCGATGTCCTGATTATATTCCCACATCAACAGTCCAATCAAATGGGATGATACCAAGACATATCTTATATATTTCTGATAATATCTTTAGGGCTCTGAAAGAATCTGCCATTGCTACATACCTTTGCATATACTACTACTTAACCAGCAGAACGACCTGCCTCCAGAAGCGGTGAATGCTCCAACACTGGAAGTTTTTAAGAAGAGACTGGACAGCCATTTGTCTGAAATGATATAAGGTTTCCTGCCTAAGCAGGGGGTTGGACTAGATGACCTCCAAGGTCCCTTCCAACTTTATTATTATTATTACTGTCTTTGACCAGATTCACCACATAAACAATGTTTTGATTAAACTTGATTTACTAAAAACTACTACAGGTAGTCCTCTACTTACAGCAGTTTATTTAGTGATCGTTCAAAGTTATAACAACATTGAAAAAAGTGACTTAGAACCATTTTTCACACGACCATTGTAGCATCATGATCGTCACGTGATCAAAATTCAGATGCTTGGCAGCTGGTTCATATTTATGATAGTCGCAGTGTCCTGGGGTCATGTGATCAACTTTAGCGACCTTCTGACAAGCGAAGTCAATGGGGAAGCTAGATTCACTTCACAACCATGTGACTAACTTAACAAATGCAATGATTCATTTAACAACTGTGGCAAGGAAAGCTGTAAAATGGGGCAAAACTCACTTAACAAATGTTTCACTTAGCAACATAAATTTGAGGCTTCATTATGGTTGTAACTCGAGGACTACCTGAATTTATTGGCTTTGCAGAACACACTTGGTTGTAAAACTTTATGTAGAAGCTACGACACATAGCGAAACCAAAAGCCACATCATTCCCTTGATGCTGGGAATAATGAAATGTGGATATCGGTTCTCAGAATTCTTAGCATGCCATGCGGACTGGGGATGCTACAGAACATGACCAGGTAGACCTCAGCTTTATGTCTTATCTTCAGGAACAATGCATCTTCCTCTTTTCAGGTACAGATAGTCCTCTTTTAGTTTTGGCGACTCGGTTGCTAAATGATGTGTTCATTAAACGAGACATCAGTCACTATGACAGACAGGATCTCACTTCGTCTGCAGTTGTTAAGTGAGATATCATGTGACTGCAGCTTGTGATTTTACTGCCAGCTTCTCCATTGATTTTACTCATCAGGAGCCAGTTATAAGGCACACAAATGACAATTATGCTGCAATAGTTGTAAATGCAAGGACCAGTCATAAATGTTACTTTGTCAGCACTGTCATAACTTCAGATAGTCACTAAACAGGACAATCCTTAAGAAAATAATAATAATAATAATAATAATAATAACAATAATAATAGTAGTAGTAGTAGTAGTAGTAGTAATAGTAGTAGTAGTAATAATAATTTGCTGCCCACCTCACTATTTGAGGCAAATCTTGTAAGCCCATCATGTTTTTGTTTCGCTTTGAAATAGTATCTTATCTGAACAAACAATTGATGAGCCGGTAAGCTGCCTTCTCTGCAAGTATAAACAGCAGCTCTTTCTCCAAAACAACACATGCATCAATTAAATTCACATTTTGGGGGCAAGTCAAACAATTGTAAAAAAGAACATCCTTTAATTCTTCTAATTAGTGGCATCCAAATTTTCATTTGGCTTAACTGATAATTTGTTTTAAGTTTCCTACTGCCTTGTTTGTACATTAATTGTCAGTACTGGCCAAGGCAATATTATCCGTAGCTGGACCAACTTCTGTCACTTTGAAAATACAGAGGCTTTGAAATTAATATGGAAAAAAACCCTGAAAGTATAAAAAGTACAAAAAGCTATTTTTGCAATTTGAAAGAACGAACAGATACAGGCCCATCTTTTAAAAATGTTTTTTTAGATGTTATCTTTTTTCTTTCTGCAATATCAGACAGAATTAAAGTGGTTAAAATGTTCAGTATTGTGCTTTTCCTTGCTATGTCTTGAAAATACCAGAAAGTTATTTTTACATTTCACCCTTGTTTCCCAGAGTCAGTAAAGTACAGCAAAATAGAGAATATGAATTTATCACAATCTGCAACTAGAGGTTCAGGGATTGAAGATATAAACTTGACACCAAATTAGCATATGAAGGAAGAGAGTTCCTAACTAGCTTTCTTTCTGAATTTCCAATTTGTTCAGAAAATGTTGTGCCAAGATTTTAATTGTACTAGCATTTATTTTGTTTAGTGGAGTATTAAATTATGTGAGCCATCTTCATTGGTTCCTCACTGTTTCACTGTTTCACTGAGGTCACACATTTGCATGTAGTGTTTGTATGTGTATTTTATCAAAAGCTATATATCTCTATGGAAAGCCAATTTGGTGTAATGCAAAGGCACCAGTCCAGAACCAGAGAAACTGAGTTCTTACCTTGCCTTGGGCATAAAACCAGTTGCTGATTCTGGGCCAGTCACCGTCTCTCAACCCTAAGAAGGAATCAGTGGCAAAATTGCACCCACACAACTGAGCAGCTACACCAGTTTGCCCGTTAAAACCCTGCCTTAATACAGACTTTTTTATCTGTCAGTAGAGAAAAGAAGTTAGCCTAACTTTCATTCTATGGCCTAGGAGCAGGCATAGAAAAATATTCACACTAAATGTTGCTTAGTGAAACTAAGCAGCTCCCTCCTATGGGTCTTAAAAACCAGGCAGAATCCATAGGAAGAGCCTCAAATTTCCAATGACAATTTAAAGCTGATTGCCCATCCTTTGTATTGCATTACAGTTGGCTACACACTGGCGTCAGTGAAATTTATGCTACAAATAACTTTATTCATTTTGCACAGAACTCAGGATAACTAAGTTAACTAACCCAGTGGGTCTAATGCATAGGGTATGACAGCCCATCTCTTTTGAACCATATTATTTGTGTAGCATCCTGAACAAGAAAATAACCTCTAAGTTTGGAAGTTCTTTGTCCCGCTATCATCTACACTCTGAAATTTTGTTTGGTCTAAAAGGCATCCCTCACTTTCCTAGACCTAAAAGGCCTCCTACATAAGGTTGTTGTAAGGTTTACAAAATGTCAGAGGCATTTTTCTTTAGGGTCCCCTATCTGTGTCAAGAAAACTGATTTGTGGGATGTGACTGAGCAGAACTGAAAATTTAATTTCAGTTAGTGCAATGGAAGATTTAAAAAAGGAATATTTTTGCACACACTAAGAGCTTCTACCATCTTTGACATTATCACTGTGTTCCGAAATAATACTTAGCACTGAACCTTAATTAAAGTCATTGTGTTCTAAAACAATATTCCAGCATTGAATCCTAGTTAAAACTCTGCCCTGCATGTGATTCAGAGGTGCTAAGTTTGCCCCCCTCCTTGCGCAACCTTCACCCACCCCTCGACACACATTTTTCCTGGCTAGGCTATCATGTTTCACCAAAGCTGAGGGTGAGGGAGCCTGCACTCAGATAAAGGCTTGTCCTTGTTTGCAGAAAAGGAAGGGCAGCTCATCAGGCAGGGCACACCAACATATCTGATTGCCCAGCGCTGTCTGCTTTTCCCTCAGTGCCCAGACTTACAAGAAGAGTTGTAAGGTGGGGGTAAGCCCTCGCTGGCATCTGAAGAGCTCCTATTTCACTCACCCTGACGTTGGAGATCTACAAGTTAGTATGTGCAACGTGGGCACCGCCTTCCTGTGCTCAGATGAGAGCTCCCTTTCCTCCTCCCCGTCTCTGCTTTACTTTTTTTCTTTCTCATTTAACTATCGGCCTTTTTCTGTGCTTGCTCCAATGCCACCCAACCCCCAGCTGCTTGAAACTCCCAGCACTGAGTGTTTAGAGAGACAGAGAGAGAGAGAGAGAGAGACTTCTTGTTGGTGAACTTTGGGCAGTGAGATGAACTTGGCAGCCCCAATGCGATTTGCAAATCCAGGCATTCCCAGGGCAATTTCTGCTGCAAAGGAGTGTGAAGCGTCGGGAAGGTAGGGGTGGCCTTTTATTTAGTCACATGAAGCATGACAGCACCCCTTCCTCCTCTCAGATTTTCTAACTAATGACAATATGTGTTGGGGGGGGGAGTAGAGGGAGAGGAGTTTAGCAAAAAGCAGACAGATACAGAAACACATTTGTATGGGTACCTGGGTGTCTGCAATGTATGCTGAAGGGAAGTGAGAGTTGTCAAGGAAGGGAAAACAAGGTACTTGAGAGCCAAAAGGGAAAATGTGAGGTAGGGAATACTGCTGGGTATATCAGAATGGCTGAGTGAAATTTTCAATTTGATTGTAATATACTGCCACTAACATCCAAAGGGACAAGTCCATAAGTGCTTTTGTACTTTCAGAGAAGAAATCTATTCTTTAGGCATGTTTGTTTGTCATTCTTAGTTTACATGACTTCACCTTTCATGCTCTATTTGGCATTTAAGGAAAATTTAATATTGGCAAGAAGTTTATAGATGTGGGCCATGTATACAATAATGATACACAGCAGTGATATCTTTAATATTATTCTCCCACCATTTCCTAGCCTCTGATAGACCACATCCATAATTCATATGTTATATTTTTGTGGTATATCTTTGATAATTGATCTATATTAAGCTAGGAGATTAAAACTGCATCTGTTTAAAAGGACATTAGGACCAATATTGATATGTGTCTTTTAAATCTAAGCTTAAAACACAAAAGTAGCAAAAAGACAGTGAAGCCAAGATATTTTATGTTAATATGAATTGAAAATGAAGAACATAAACTTAAAAATGGCTGGTAAACAAAGAGTCTTTTGTTGATATAAACAAATCTAATTTGATGTTGCAGGTTTATGAATATTTACTGGGACCAATGTCTACTGCATGTGGTAACAATTCAGTACATAGATTTGAACTGTGTATGGCTACCTGGAAATATTGGGAACGAGATATGTGACTATATTGTTTATAAAATAATTGTGTGCTTTTTCCCTTTTAAATTTTTCTTGAATTCAAAAACCTGTGGAACCACAGCACTTCCTTGGCACCTGCCTGGCTTTTGCCCTGCTTGCCTTTGGTTGTTTGTTCCTTTTAAATTCTTTTTCATTCTGCAAAGGAAATGCCCGTCTCCAACATACATTTATTTCCTGCATTTCTCTACTCATCACATATGCACATAGGCGTTATTTAAAAATAAAAACAGTAAGGGCTATAATCTATACTTTGTTTTGAAATCTGTCCATGTGCCTAAAGCGAAAATAGAAGCCAAAATAAGTTGGGATAACAGGACCCATCATGGGAGGTTAGAGGAACGCACTCAACAGTTGACCTTTTTTGGGGGGGGGGGGGAGAACCACAACTTATTCTCAAAATATCAGATCTCATCTCTAATGCAAATGTCACTACCTCAGGTAAGTTTTCAAAAGTAGGTCCAGGTGGAGCAGACTAAGAGGTGACATAGGTCACTAACGTCAAAGCCTCCAGGAAAGAGCACAACTGGCACAAAATGTCCATCAAACTGTCCAGAAGTAGCAATAGCAATAGCTCTTAGACTTATATACCTCTTCATAGGGCTTTACAGCCCTCTCTAAGCGGTTTCAGAGTCAGTATATTGCCCCCCAACTGTCTGGATCCTCATTTTACCGACCTCGGAAGGATGGAAGGCTAAGTCGAACTTGAATTGGTGAGATTCGAACTGCTGGCAGTCAGCAGAAGTAGCCTGCACTACTGCATTCTAATCACTGCGCCACCATGTAAGCCTAATGCAACCTCCAAAGCATGGACTTTGCTCCTTCAATGGCAGTGTGATTCCATCAAGGGACCCTAGTGGAGCAGAGAAAGAGCCAACTAGTTTCTGGATAAAGAGTAACGCAGTCTTACTGGGATTGAGCTTGAGCATTTTTTCCCCCATCCAAGTGTTTACAGCCCTTAGGTATTGGATCAGGACTTCCCCCACAGCATTGTTCTATCCCAATGTGGAGATAAATATTATCTCAAACTAACAAATGACTGCTTCAACAACTTCATTTAAATCAGTGGTTCTCAACCTGTGGGTCGGGACCCCATTTGGGGTCGATCGACCATTTCACGGGGGCCGCCAAGCAAGGCTGTCCGCCATTTTTTTTGTCCGCCATTTTTTTGTCCGCCATTTTTCC